TACTAGTCTATCACACAGATCTTTCACTTTTTTGATTAGGCTAATTCCTAGGTATTTAGTTTTTTTGTTTTTATTTTTGAAGCTACTATAAATGCGATTGCTATCCTGCTTTTTTTCCCAGTGGGTTCATTATTGGTGTAGAGTAACACTAGTAATTTTTGTGTTGATTTTGTATTCTGATACCTCACTTTATCAGTTTTTAGAGTCTTCTGGCAGGGTTTTTTTTGTGAGGGGAATCTTCTATACAAGTGATTATGTCATATACAAATATGGATACTTCAATATTTTCCTTTCCTACTGAAATCCTCTTTAATTCTTTCTCTTGCCTGATTACTCTGGCTAAAATTTCGAGTATTATATTGAACAGGAAAGGTAAAAGTGGACACTCTTGCCTTGTTCCTGATTTCAGAGGGAATGTTTTCAGTTTTCCCCCATTTAGTATGATTTTGAAAGTGGATTTGTTACAAATGATTTTTATCATCTTAAGGTAAGACCTTTCTATATTTATTTTTGTTAGCATTTTATCATGAATGGGTATTTGATTTTTTTCTCAAAGACTGCACCTATTAAGATGATTATGTAATTTTTATCCTTACTTCTGTTTCAATGCTGTATTACACTTACTGATTTATGTATATCGAACCTTCCTTATAGCTCTGAGATAAAGGCTAGTTGGTGTATGATCTTCTTAATGATTTACTGCACTGTTTGCACGTGTCTTAAGGGTTTTTCATTTATGTTCACTAAGGAAACGGGCCTACAGTTTTCTATTAAGTCCTTGTCTGGTTTTTGGTGTCAGAGTAATGCTAGTTTCCAGGAACAAGTTTGGCAGTGTTTCTTTCCTTTCAATTTCATGGAAGATTTTGAAGTATATTTGCGTTAGTTCTTCCCAGAAAGTCTCAAAAAATTCAGTGAAGACTCATTCTGGTCCTGTGCATTTCTTGGCAGGTTTTTGTTTTTTCTTCTTTGTCGTTGCCTATCATTGGTCTGTTCATTGTTTTTATATCTTCTTCATTCAGTTTTGCTAATTCATATGTGTCTAGGAATTTATTTTCTGTACATTTTCCAATCTGTTGCAATGTAAGTTTTCAAACCAGTTTCTCATGATGTTCTGAATTTTGGTGGTGTCTGTTGTCATTTTGCCTTTGACATTTCCATATACATTAATGTGAATCTTTATTTCTCTTAGTAAGTTTGGCTAAAGATTTCTCAATTTTATGTAGTAACAACTCTTTAGATTCACTCTTTGCATTCTTTTTAGTCTCAATTTCATTTATTTCCACTCTGATCTTCATAATTTCTTTCTTTCTACAAGTTTTGGATATGGAATGTTCTTGTTTTTCTAGGAACTTAAGAGGTACCACTGTTATTTATTTGGAATCACTCCATTTTCCTAATGTGGGCATTAACAACTATAATCTTCCCTCTTGAAACTTTATTTTGTCTTAGTTTTTGATGCATTTTCCTTCCACTGTTACTTGATTTTAGAAAATTTTAATTTCTTTCTTGAGTTCTTCTATGACTCAGTGATTATTGAAAAGCATAACTTTTAATCTGAGAGACTTTGTATTCTTTCTCTGGCTTCTTTGTGATTTCTTCTTTAATTTTATGGAAAAAGGTAAAACAAAATTTCATAACAAAATAATAGGAGAATAACAATAGTTAATACATTGTGTATTGTTACCTTTAAAGTAAAGATATGGGCATAAAAAAAATCTCCAAACAATATTAGCACAAACCTTTCATGCAATGAACTACAAGAAACTAGTAGGATAAGTTCATCGCACTATACCTGATAGTAAGCAGGTTTCAATTCTTTTATATTTATTTAAGCTTGCTTCATTACCTAAGATAACGGTCTATTTCAGAGAAAGTTTCATGTGCTGCTGATAAAACATGTGTATTGTTTTTAGAAGCAACACTGTGTATATAACTTTTTAAGCCAATTTTTTCAACAGTGTTTGCTCAACTGCTATTACTTTTTTTTTTCCTGGTGTGCTGTGTGTGTGGTATTATTGAAGTTCCCCATTACTATATGATTGTATTGATATTTTTCTGACTTTTATTTCCAGTATTTGTTTTATGGAATTGGGTGCATCAGTGTTCAGTGCGCACTGATTTCTTCCTGTTGCATTTCCCCCATTAGTAGTACAATGGTCTTTGTCTCTTCTGATCAGTTTTAACTTGAAGTCCACTTTGTTGGAAAATAGGATAGCTACTCCTGCTTGCTTTCAGGCTCCTGTACCTTGTAGTACCATTTTATATCCTTTCAATATATGTGTTTTTTGTAGATGAGGTATGTGTCTTATAGGCAACATAGTTTGGTTTTGGTTTTAGATCTAATGTACCAGTTTGTGTCTTTTAATTGTAGAGTTGAGACCATGAACATTGAGGGAACAACTATTGCAAAGTTTTTACTGACTCATCCGATTGTAGTATTGGAGTTTTTTTATCTGGCTGATGGACAAGGTGTTGGATAGTATTTCAGGGGGTTAGAAAGGGAAGAGGAGGCAAGGGAATATAACTGGACATTGAAATAAGGTCCAAGGAGATTGAAACCAATCACTATGCTGATGGAAAACCTGCATATGAACGCTCTATGCAAAAGTTTTGGTGAATGTTAACCTGACAGGCCCATGAAAGGTACTCTGTAAACTAAAATACTAATTAATTCTTTCCATTTTATGTGTAGAAACTATACATATATATATATATATATATGGTATATATATGGTGTGTGTG